AAGTTTAACCTTTCAATGTAAGGATGTACTTTGGACATCATAATGAACTATGATAATGCGCCAAATTGAACTTTTTAATATACTGACGAACTTGGAGCACATCACATACTATGTCCCATTGAAACATACTCATGAGCCAAGTTTAAAGCTGGACTACGCTCCGAAACGCAATCTTGGGTTGTTTCGGGGGTGAACTTTATCATTTTGAGCTTAATGAAAGATTATAGAATGATGAACAAATGGGGCAAATCTTGTGTAGAAATACTTACGATAAATGTGTCATTTCAAAGATTTTTCATTGAATTTGCTTCGATCGGTGCCGGCGATATGATTTTGGAAAGGTTTCTAAATGAAGAACGTGACGTCACTTCCGAATCATAGCATTCAAAATAAGTAGCGTTTAATTACTACTTTTATAATAATAGTTGGTGTAGCGGGTAGAATCCTCGCTGAGCACGCGGGAGGTCCGGGTTCGAATCCCGCACTAGCCTTTTTATTTTTTTTAACTAAATGATTGTTCTTTGATATTACGCAGAAAAAAACAATTTTTATTTACATAAACTTTATATTAGAGCTTGAAAATGTAAAAACAATATATGTCAAGATATTGCGTTTCGGAGCGTAGTCCAGCTTTAAACTTTCAATGTAATAGAAGAAGAAGAAGAAGAAGGATGTACTTTGAACATCATGAATAATGCGTCAAATTGAACTTTTTAATAAACTGACGAACTTAGAGCATATAACATACTATGTCCCAAATTGAAACATACTCATCAGCCAAGATTAACCTTTCAATATAATGATGTATTTTGAACATCATAAATAACGCGCCAAATTGAACTATACCAATGCGCCAAATTGAACTTTTCAATATACTGATGAACTTAGAGCATGTCACAGACTATTCCCAAATTGAAACTTACTCATAAGCCAAGTTTAACCTTTCAATACAAGGATGAACTTTGAACATAATAAATAGCGCGCCAAATTGATATATACTTACGCGCCAAATTGAACTTTTTAAAATACTGATGTACTTGGAGCACATGACATACTATGCCCCAAATTGAAACATACTCATGAGCCAAGTTTAATCTTTCACTGTAAGGATGTACTTTGAACATAATAAATAGCGCGCCAAATTGATCTATACTAACGTGCCAAATTGAACTTTTTAAAATACTGATGTACTTGGAGCACATGACATACTATGCCCCAAATTGAAACATACTCATGAGCCAAGTTTAATCTTTTACTGTAAGGATGTACTTTGAACATCATAAATAATGCTCCAAATTGAACTATACTAATGCGCCAAATTGAACTTTTTAATATACTGATGTACCTGGAGCACATCACATACTATGTCTCAAATTGAAACATACTCATGAGCCTAGTTTAACCCTTCACTGTTTCTTTCAACATTTGGGTAATAACTGTGGATTAAAGGTGAAGAAAAGTCATTTATTAAAAATTAAAAAATTAACTTTTGAATGAGTTAATCGATTAATTCCAAATTTTAACACAATATTAATCATAGCAAGAGGGACACTAAAGAAGCAAATAAATTAGAAAAACTTAATTTGCAAATTATTTTTCTGTGGAACCATCGGCTGTAGATATTAATCCTTTAACTCATAACAAACGGATTAGTTATCAGTGAACAAAACTCATGTCATAGAAATTAAATACTTGGGGATTAAAGTTTTATTTATATTGCTCTGACATGTCAATACATGTACGAGATGGTGAAAAACTGCATGATCTTGAAAGAATTGTTGGCCAAGGGGAGGGGTTGCTAGGTGCAGGCCTGTATAAAATGCGTAATGTGTATTTAGCTGAATATTGAGCATTTCTGTGTCAAAGACTGTTTTTTGTGGCTGACAAAGTGAATACAGGTGGTTGTGCCTGTGTAATATAAGAGGGGGATTTAAATGTCTATTGTAACCTTGGTGTGACAGAGAAATATGTATTTAGCTGAATATTGAGCATTTCTGTGTCAAAGACTGTTTTTTGTGGCTGACAAAATGAATACAGGTGGTTGTGCCTGTGTAATATAAGAGGGGGATTTAAATGTCTTTTATTGTAACCTTGGTGTGACAGAGAAACAATAGAGTAAACATGTGAGGAAAACTTATTAATTAAGAATTAAAAAATTATTTTTCCAATGAATTGATCGATTGAATCCAAATTTTAACACAATGTTAATCATAACATGGGGGATAATATACAATCAAATAAATATAAAAAACTTAATTTGCAAATTATTTTTTGTGGAACTTAGAATCGTTGGCTGTAGGAAATTAATCCATTGACTCTAACAAACAGATTAGTTATCAGTGTTAACGAAACTCATTTTATAGAAATTGAATAATTAGGGATTAAAGTCTTACTTATCATATTGCTCTGACATAGCTGTATGTCCATACTGTATGTTATTTGCATCAGTTTGTTCTTCCATGCACCATTTTACTCAAAACATAATCATCAATTTGTCAGATGAAACATTTGCAACAAATGTGAAATGCGCCCGTTTCTTTATTTGCATTATTACATTCTCAACTAAACATACCGAATCTTGCACCTTTTGTATATGTATATATTGAAACGGAAAACAAAGAATGATTAATAAAACCAGCTGTTATAAACAGAAATGGTCCAATTCTAATAGAAACAATGGTATTGCACGGGCTAATCTCTGTTGTTTATCATGAGTGTTTGTCTCAGATATCATATGGATAACAGAAAACACATGAATTGTGAAATGTGAAAGAATACAAGTTTTAACTTTGTTTTAATATGGCTTAAATTCTACTTGTATCATTTACATAATTCATGTTATTTCCTAATTTATTATAAGTGATTTGTCAGATGAAATCTGAGCAATATTTCTGGTATATTACAGGCTCATAATAAGTTTGAGCTCAGGGGGTCAATTTTCAAAACGTACCAAGGGGGTCAAAATTGATGGAATTGTTGGCCAAAAATCACTTGACAGTGCTCAGATTGGTGAAAACTGTATGATTTTGAGAGAATCTTGGCAAGGGGGTGGGGGATTCACATGAACCCAACGACCCCACCCCCCCCAATGGCCACAGACCTGTATCAAATGTGTAATGTATTGAGCTGAATATTTTTGCAATTTTGTGTTATAAACTTTTTGTGTGGTGTGCGAAGTGAATAGTGGTGTTTGTTTGTGTCTGTGTAAGTGAGGGCTTTAAATGTTGTTTGTTGTATTAAACTTAATCTTACATAGAAACAATCGAGTTAAATTGTGAGGAAACCCCATAATTAAAAATCAAGAAATTACTTCCCAATGAGTTAATCGATTGAATCCAAATTTTAACACAATGTTAATCATAACACGAGGTACACTATACAATCAAATAAATTTGAAAAACTTACTTTGTATTTTTTGTGGAAATAAGAGCCATAGGCTGTAGAAATTAATCCATTAACTCTAACAAACAGATTATTTATCAGGGTGAACAAAACTCAATTCATAAAAATTGATATACTTAAGGATTAAAGTTTTACTAATTACATTGCTCTGACATGTCAATACATGTATGTGAATGGTGAAAAACTGCATTTCTGTAAAGAATTGTTGGCCAGGGGAAGGGGGTCCTTAGGTACGGGCTTGTATAAAATGCGTAATATATTAATTGAATATTGAGCAGTTCCGTGTCATGACTGTTTTTGGTTGGCAAAGTGAATAGTACAGGTGATTGTTCGTACCTGTGTAAGAGGGGGATTTATTGTTGTTTGTTGTAAACCTGATGTGACAAAGAAACAATAGAGTAAAAATGTGAGGAAAACTCATTAATTAAGAATAAAAAATTAACTTTCCAATGGATTGATCGATTGAATCCCAAATTTAACACAATCTTAATCATAACTCGAGGGACATTATACAATCAAATACATATGTAAAAACTTAATTTGCAAATATTTTTGAGAAATAAGAACCATCAGCTGTAGAAATTAATCCTAACAAACGGATTAATTAGTGTGCATGAAACTCATTTCATAGGAATGGAATACTTAGGGATTAACGGCTCAAAAATAAACGCATATAATCCGGTTTTGATTGCAAATGCCAACATATTATTTGCTCCTGACTAGAATATTATTCTATATTATATGGCATTATATGTTGTTCCCTTCAAATAATACACAAATAATATTATTAAAGAAAAATTAATTTTTAAAAATAGTTATTATATCTTATTCCGCTATAATACAGGAAATAACTGCCTACCATACAGGAAAAATATTCTCTACGATTGCCTCTTATTGCAACTATATTAAACATTTTATTCTATATTATTTTTACTTCAATACCAAGTGAATTGAAAAATGTAACTTTCCACAGACTTAATGAAATGAATCCAAAATTTAACACGCTGTTAATTATAATTTGACTGTCATTGTCCAATTTAGTAAAAGTAAAAAGCGTAATTTATAAATGACTTTTTGGTGGAAATTAGTACCCTCAGTTATAGAAATGACCAGATTAATCTGAACAAGCGAATTAATTAGCATTGAAAACAAAATACATTCAATGCTGGACTTTGCTTTTAATCTGTTAAAACAACAAACTCGGGAACTGAAGCTATTACTTAATATCGCGTATAAGACGCGTATAGTTTGTTTTGAGGTAGAATAAGAGAAGAATAAGTCAAGTATAGTTTGATATAGTCTGTTTTTATTTAATATAAGTTGTTTTAAACCGCATATAGTAGGTTTGATTCCTATTTTGAGGCGTATAAGTGGAAAATAGTTCAGTAAAGATATACACTCTGCAATGATATATGCAACTTATTTTAGTTTATATGGGCGTATCGGAGAGTATATCAGGACTTATATTAAAGTGTTCCGTTTTTAGGAATATGGGAGAAACTATTCTCGCCCATATTTTAGGTGAAATTCAAACTATATGGGGGTTATTCTAAAAAATAGTTTGCTATAGTACAAACTATATTTGGCTTTTTTCACAGTGTTATACTCTGCTGTTTGGTGGCGTGGTTGCTATATTTGGGGAGCAATTTAACATTTCAAATGGCTTTAGTAACCTTTTCTTTGGTTGGGGTGGTGAGGATGATGACTTCAGAGGAAGGTATGTATCCTCCGAAATAGAGGAATGATAATATGTATCCTCCTAAGAAGAGGAATGGTTGATAAACTGTTCAACAGAAATTATTTTTGAATCCCTACTGCAGGCCCGTTGCCTGGATTTACCGAGGGGGGAAGCTGTTTTACCAAGGGGGGAGGCTTTTGCCAAGAGGGGGGAGCTTTTTGACAGTTTTGGCATAAATTATGCGAAAAGTGCTCACAATGATGAAAAACTGAATGATTTTGAAAGAATTTTTCTGGCCAGGGGGGGGGAGCAGCTGCTCCCTACGCTCCCCCTGGCTACTAGGCTAGGCAAATGGAAGTTTAACATCCCAAAAATTGCAACAGTTTTTAAATTAGGCTTATATTGTACATTGATACCAGTTGAAAAACATATCAAAAATATAGAAAAATATATGCAGTGGACAAATATGAAATGTCACATTCTAGGTACCCCCCTCCAAATTTGAGTATGGGATTGTAAATATTTTTTAACTTCAAAATGAAATGCTCTTGTCAACTAAATTAGTAATATTATGATAGTTTACTGACATAAGAGCAACTAAAAATTGTTAACCAACTATTTGAGTGCAATAATTGGCATTTCTAGCCCCAAATATCTGAAAATAGGCCATCAAATAGCCCGAATTTAATATAACAATGTATTTATTTCTGTATCAATTAATCAGAATTGCATGAAAAAAATCAAGGATGTTAATGTTTACCTGAAAATTGTATTTGATCAGTATCAGGGCCATTAGTTGAATATTAAAGGTGATAATAATATTTGAAATTTCAATATTTTACCACACCAACTTTTGGGGTGACCTTACTTTTGTTTAATTACTTCCAAGTTATGTCATATTTGAACTAAATAGCACAACTAAATTATTTGTAAAGGCTTATTTTGTCCTGAAATCAGTTATTTGATGTTTTCAGGGAAGGATTATGTAAAAAAAGTAGAAAAACTGCAAATGTCAGGTGAAATATAGGGGAAGTCCTACTTTTAGTTGATAACTGCTAAATTATCAAATGTTTTGCCCTTATTATATTCAATTTGATACATTTTCTGTTAAAACAGAGAACGATTTGATAGAAATTAAGTACAATCAGTGTTCTAAAAATATCCTTGAAAAGGCAACAAAATGTTAAATATCCCTGTCCCTGACATCAGGTTATTAATATGAGCCAAAAAAGGTAACCCAACCAAATTTTTGTTAATAACCCAGTCATTCAGCATGGGTTTGACATCATATTTTGCACAGTTACCTTCGTTGTTCAATGTTCTTTCATTCTACTAATAGTGTCATTGATCTATCCTTAATAGTCACGATTTTATGGCCATTTAGAAAATGTGCTCAAAATATCGAAATGTGCCTAAATGACTGGACATCAATACCACCAGCTTTTTATCTGTGGACCTATTTTCTATACTAACAACCCTTGAAACATTAAAACAAGAGATAAGAATGAAGATGAGAGCCATAACACACGATTTTTATGCTCCTGATTTGAAAAACTACGCCCGATACGTTCAAGTTGACCTCCAGGCATGACGCCCATATTTCACGGCATGGTATAAAATGGCCATAAAATCGTGACCACTAGAGATGGACCACTGAGACTAGATTGATAATACATTGACCAAGGCTCAATTCTGCAAAATATGACACTAAATCCATGCAGGATGACTGGACTGGGTTATTAAGATTTGTTTGGGTTACCTTTTTAGCTCACCCTGTATTAAGGAAAATTGTTGCTTTTGACTAAGATGTTCTTAACCACACTGTGATATTGAGAATTGAAATGAAGAAGTTCAACTGTAGAATGTTGGATTTCAAGATGAAATTCAATAAAAAATGAGGAAAAGGTTTCTACGCTAATAAATTATACTGAGTTAACTAGTGTACCGCAAAGTAAATCCCTGGTCTTTATACAGGGCATGGTTCGATTACGTTATGTTCATTATCAAAAAATGCTGCCTTCATTTTGTAATCTTAACTTACATATATGTGTCTAACTTATAGAGAGCAAAAAATAATGCTGATTAAATAAGCTTAATACTTTCATGTTGTAACAACAATCACTTGCCTTACTGCATAACTATTAGATACATAAGGGGTATATGAAAATTGAACCACGCAAATAGATGTAATTTAAGTTAGGGAACTTTCTACTATACCAGCCATGCTATCTGACCCAAATGAGTCATCTGGTGGTGAATCTGGTAACTACCTACTCGCATCTGCGTTATTGGTACAAAAGCTTCGCTGCTTATTTCCCAGCTCAAGGTATCCCGCAGCATCAGACGTTGGAGGAAGAACACGGGGCTGCAATAATTCAGATCTTGCTGCTCTCTTTTAATAGAATTTTTGAAGCCTAAGTACGTCGTAACAAAATGTCAGAACATCGAAGGTATTATGATTTTTCTTTTTTCCTTATTTCACACATTGTAGGCAGAATTCCCACAACATTGTTATCACAAACATGTATCAGTATTATATGTTTAAAAAATGTACATATTTGTGAACAAATAGTTCAGAAGACAACAGAATCGTCGATTTAATTCCTCACTTAAGTTACATAAATGGTATTTCGATAAACAGTTAAGATCTGCACTTTTAACCCAAACCGTTTATGTAACTTAAGTGAGGAATTGTCTTCTAAGCTATTTTTGCGCAAACATGTACATTTTCTAAAACATGTGATACTGATACGGACACGATTGTGAGAAAAAAACATCGTGGGGATTCTGCGTACAACGCGTGAAAGAAAAATCGCACATTCGACGTTTAGACATTTTGCCATACCTAAACGGGCGTATTCGAGCGGATCACCAGTGCTTTTGGTAATTTAAAAACGACCGCTTGTCTTCTCAAGAACTCAGTCTTTTTTATCTGCCTCAATGATAGCTTCTTGTCAATCCCATATATAACCAGAATGAGGTGTCACACCCCAGTAAAGCATGGATAAAGAAAATATTGTCACAGACCACTTTTCCCAAAGACAATCTTATTTCATTTATATCCAACTTTTTGTTTCTTGGGTTGCTGCTTTTGGTTCAGGTTGGAAGAAAATGTTGAAGTTTGTGTTTTGTGCATGATAAATGAGAAGCACGAGAACTGTATGGGTACTGTATTTGAGGTTGGAACACTTTGGATTGCAGTCTTCACAATCACAATATCTGCATCCGATTCTGAATGTGTAGCACATGTACACTCAATGTTTTCCAACCTGACAGACAGAATTACCATCATTCCTACGCACTGAAATTATTGTGAAGTTTCTGATCCTGCTTCCACAAAAATCATAGAATTGGTAACGTGCTCTATTAAACCAAAAACCCCGAATATGTCACTTACCGTCTTGTTCTCATTTATAAGGCTCTATGGAAGACTCACTGTGTGATTAATTGTGGACAAATGACAACTGTGGACAAGTATGATTTCGCAATTGTGGACAAAGTGTAATTGCACAATTGTGGACAAATAGTAATTGCACAATTGTGGACAAATGACAACTGTGGACAAAAGTGATTTCACAATTGTGGGCAAAGTGTAATTGTACAATTGTGGACAAATGACAGCTGTGGACAAATATGATTTCACAATTGTGTGGACAAAGTGTAATTGTACAATTGTTGACAAATGACAGCTGTGGACAAATATGTCTGAGTTATATTAGGCCAGCATGGGGAATATAAAATCGGTAAATAATATAAGTTGAAACTCAAGGAAAATTTGGGCAGCACTTCCCCTAGTATCAGTGAAAATCAGATTGGGGAGGGGAAAATTTGGGCAGCACTTCCCCTAGTATGAGTGAAAAACAGATTTGGGAAGGACAGATATTATAATTGCTATATCAGGCCATACATCACTTGTTAAAAGGAACTGTGTCTTCAAGGTAAGGCTGTATCTTCTATTCAGGGGGTTAGGAATTGTAAAGTGGACAAATTACAACTGTGTACAAACCCAAATGTGGACAGAAGCAATTGTGGACAGAAGCAATTGTGGACAAAGTAGATTAATTCAGGTAAATGGTTGGTTATGACACACTCTGATCACCAATGATCCAACAGAAAAAGATGTAACTGCTAAAATAACTTACTATCTTTATTCGTAAATGACTAAATTATATTCCGTCTACATGAATAGGAAGACAATCCAAAGATGAGATCAGAATCAGCAAAATTATTACGGCTAAATAATATTGTAAACAGCCAGTGAAATCACCAAAATTATACACTAATATATCTCACCCAGTTTTCAAAGAGCTTTGTCGTCATCCCGGGCATGTTGGCTTTCTTTAGAAACACATCTTTGACTTCAAAGCGATTCTCTAGGCTTCAAAACGATTCTTGATTACGAAGAACAGCTGATTTCCCAAACTATCTATGGCTGTCCACAATGTCAGAGTGTACAAGTTAATCTCGAAACTCAAACAAAACGTTTTTATACATCAAAGTCTAAACATATAACAATATGTTTGCAACATCAAAATACATGATTGATAACATCATAAGAACATGTTACGTTCCAGTTAAGCTTTAAAAGTGCTCTTTATATGACAGAAAATCAAAAATATAAATGAGATAATTTCCTAGTCACATGACCATCCAAAATGGCGGCCTCCATGAAAAATGTAAACAAATTTAAAATCAAAACAGTTTCGTAAATTTGAAGCTCAATACAAAGTAATTATACGTGATTTTCTCAACTCCAAGCAAGATCAAGGTGCCAGGTAAGGAGAAATGATATAAATATAGAAAATGACGAGCAGGATCGTCACACCTCCCCCTTCAAAATGTAGGATTTACTCAAATCCTCACTGAAAATTATATAACAAATACCTATACTGTAATACATCATGTACCGTTATAAATTATCTTCACAAATTATCATGAACTGTTTCATAATGCGTAATACCTACAAGTCTATAGCACCATATCAAAAATGCATATATGGCAAAACTTACAAAGTATATAAAAGTATCAACATCCTTTTCAAAAAGGAACTCATCCTTTGGAGATTCTCATGAGAACAACATATTACAATAACATAATATAAAACGACTAAAAAAACATATTTACAGTAGAACAAAGTGTTCAAAACATCAGAATTACCTGGCAGGTAATATTCACTCTTCACAATACAAAAATAGCATCCTATACAAAATACACCCAAATACAAAATGTCGTCTGAGTCACTTTTGAGTATCTTTTTATATACATCATAAATTATTCCTCAACTGTCCATGACTTATACAGGTTGACTTGATCAAGTATGTATCTCCAAGACTCCTTATGGCACATTCCAATTGTCGTTTTTCAGCAACTAATGTTCCGTCTCAGTAGATGAAGAATGATCACTGAATATAAATGTTACTGCCTCATATGCACCATATACCATCATGGTATCACGAACTATAAGTCTTTTAACTTAGACATAATAACAAGTCCATCACTTCATGTCCTGTATCCCTTTGGTATGTTTAAGTACAATGAATGTCCTTTGAGATCAATGTAATTACTTAGTCCTCCTCACTAGTCTCTGAAGATCCATAGTCGTTTAATAAAAGCAGACCACCAGCTATTGCTGAGAGAGGGTCTGGACCGACTTCTCTGTCTCTAATTGGGCTTGAAATGAACACACAAATTCTCTTTGGTGAGACTGGGTGATCATCTCTCTCAACTTGTGTCTTTGAAGATGGTGGAGATTTTTTCACTTTCATCCTTGGGGATCTTGATGAATCTCTCTCCTCATACTGTGTCTTCATAGATCTTTGGGCTTCTTTAATGCTCTTAGGGACTGTGTCAGATTGATCATCTCTATGTTTCGTTTTCATCTTGTCACTTGTCATCTTGCTACTACTTTTCCCAGCATTATTACCCCCTTCCTCAAAAGACAACTCACGCTCCGAGGGTATCTGAATAATGGCAAAGTCTCCTTTTTCAGATATAGCTGGAGATCTTTCACTTTCAGTATGCTCCTCTTTGAGTCTGAGTCCAACTTCTTTGTGCCCGAAATACACTGTCCTCTCAACTGTTACTTTGTCTGTTTTATCATCATTAGAGGCTTCCCTGCATTTGTCAGTACATATCTCTCCTACCTCTCTGTTCATATCACATTCTGCTTGTGACCCTACTTGATCTTGATCATCGAATCCACCAAATTTTACTGTTCTACTATCCGTGCCATCACTTGTACATCCATATTTATCATCTTTGACATCATCTGTATCATCACTTTTATACCCATATTTATCATCTTTGACATCATCTGTGTCATCACTACTTGAGGTATCAATAAACTGCTTTGAACATATCTTTCTTTTAGGGACATGTGCCTTTCTTTGCCATCCCTTTGGCTTTGGCTTCCTATTTCGCCGTTTCTCCTTCAGTTTTATCCGTAGTGGTGTACTTCTCTTGGCTACCTTCTTAACTGGCTTCTCTTCAAGTTTTGGTACTTTAACATCAGTTTCTTCATTAAGAATTCTGTTCACCTTGGAATCATCAAGGAATATTTCTGGATCGAAGTTAACATTTCCTGTAAATATATCTGTTAGGCTATCATCGAGGTTAGTTTCACCCACCATTTTTTGTTTAAGTACATCATGCATTTTCATATGTTTTTCCATCAAAGTTTTGCTTCTTCTGTCACAGGAATACATACATGGACGGCCTTCAGGGGATATGTATGTACATTTGAGAGATAGATAGTGTTGTCTTACATGCAGGTATAGTGCACGCCAGTTTCTGTATCTTTTGTCGCAGAAGATGTAGTTTTCATTTTCATCTGTTCTGAGGACAACACGGCATTGCTGCAAGTAAGCAAAAACATTGATAAGTTACCACCGGGTAGGCTCATTTACATCTAATAAAATTCATAGCTTTCTAACTTTGAATATAAATCACTCAGATTGATCAATCAGGGGCTTTAACCTTCCTTTTTGTACAATCTTGAATTCTTCAATTTCTCTTGGACCTCAGAAGTTTATCTTTCCCATCAGGGATTGAAATATTACAGGGTCTTGTGGGGGTTCATTGACATCAACATGTGTTCGTTTGTGTTTGGTGGCACAATAATTTTATCAACTGATTGGCTGCAGAACCGCTTTAATTTATTCGCGTTCACTACCCGCTGATTGTCACCGATTTGAAATCATCAACACACGTTGCAAATCTGTTTGATCTGTGCCATCTTTTTACAAATTTAGGAGTTTGACTTTTTCATTGGAACATACAACATACAACTTAATCATCAACATCCACATTTTGCAGATTGGCTTTGACATCATACTGGCTTTAAATGACATCACCTACAATTCAAACTATCCCATATAATCATGGCTGCATCAACCTGGCTCATAAGTACCTGCCAGTACTCAGATCCAGCAAGGCTGTCAACGATTTCATCACACCGTGGCAGCGGGTAAGAATCTCCGACAGTCTTGTGATTCAACTTTCGAAACTCCACACCAATCGTAAGCTTTTGTCCTTCAGAACTAACATCAGTGCCAGTGTTGATTTTCATCTCTGTTGCATCCGTTTTGCGTATGTCTTGTTATTGGCAAATAAATAGGTTTACTTCAATCGATAAAAACAGTTTAACACACTCCACTTTTTCGGGAGAAAATAGTTGCACACTGTTCTCAAAAAGTATCTTCGAATGTTCTTGTACTTTGTCATCTTTTGCTACATCTGCCTCTTTTAATTCAGATTCAGATTTCACTTCCTCAACATCATCCGCAGAGTCGTCATCAAGGTCAAATTCAAGGTCAACATTGGATATTGTCATTCAATATCAAGTTTAGACCTGGCCAGGCATTTGTCAACAAAGGGGTCAGACTCTGACTTCAAACATCACCACAATGTGTGTTCGGGACATCATTCTAGTTGATTGAAACACCGCCAATATCTGTGACTTCACTTTCAGACGCTTGAACTTGTCTCGGTAGCGGCTCACCAAAAGCTATGGGTCTTTATACAGCATTGTTGGTTGGATACCATAATTGATCATTCTCACGAGAATCCAGTAGTTTGGATTTACATGTACCAAAAAAAAATCTACCGATTGATATTCCCCTGATCTTGGCGTCCACATCCATTTTAATTGCTTACTAGACATTTCCATGTAGATTGCCTGGTGCTTCACCTTTTGACTACTACTTCACACATGGGCGACACTCTCACTGTTTGTTTCATCACAACATGACACTTGGGTCTCAGGCTTAGTTGAGGGTTTACGGCATGGACACAGTCTAGGTTCATTGTCATATCTTCAAAGTATATACATCCAAAACATTCTACCAAATGTAACGCTTGTGTTATTTATCAAGACAATCAAGTAACATTAAAACATACTGATCATCTAATCCTCTCATCTCAATCTTTATTCCCAGTCTTTATCAAAACGTCTATATACAAATACAATGCATCACCATCATCTTCTGTGACTCTATATGTCATTAAAATAGCTAGTGTTACAGACTGAGATTCTTAATATTATTCTAAATATTTTGCTACAACAAAATAATGCACGATTGTTCAAGTAGACATGTTTTCAGTCCGGCCGGTTCTGAATACTGTGTCATATCTACTATTTTCAGTTGAAGAAAACAATGATGAATAGTTTCAATTACAAACAATTAGTTTTCACATGCACTCCTCACATTTAGTCTTTATTCATTCACACATGGGTAATAAGTCCATTTCATTTATTCAACCAACTGGATGAATGTCAAGTCTCCCTCAGTGTATCCATCACTACTGTAAATTCAGCTTCTTAAATCTAATGGCTCTTTTTCGCAAATTTCACATTTGTAGCCATCAATCAAGTTTCACTTTCGAATCTTTATTTCCAAACTCACACTCCACAATGCAATGCACTTCAACAGGTCTTCCATCAGTCATCTCTATGTTTGAGACATGGCCTTTGTTGATAGAGATATTCATCCATCTCGCCTTTGTGGGAATATTATACACATCAGATTCACTATCAACAATAGCTGGTATCAGGAACTTCCAAATATTAAAATGCACAGCAAGACCTTTGCGGGTTGTGCCATCAATGTTAGTGGTTCCAACAGAGATCTCGGCTGATTCTGGACCCACTGAATCAGTCTCATCTAGTTTCCCGAGCCCTTGGGCTCGGGGCTGCCCTTGGGGCAGTCCATCACACTGTGGTTTTCTTCCCCGCATCTGAAGCAAGCCTTAGATCCAGTCTTCTGTGAATTAGGGTGCCTGAATTCACAATTGAAGACTGAGTGTTCCCTGCAGTCACAGAGTTTGCAATACACCTGCCTCTTCTTGTTCTTCTTGGGTTCCTTCTCTGTCTTTTTCATAAGCTTTTTCATCAACTGTTGTCCCAACTTCTCCACTTCTGATATAACCAAACTTTGCATGTCTGCTCTGAAATCATCCATCATGGCTTGAAATGGTTCCTTGCTTGGAAGATTAGCTGGTTTTTTCAAAGCTACAATTTGGAACACTGTATCAGGTTCAGTCACAATTCTCTTCTCATGGCCTTTTGTGAGTGCTTCATCTTGGAGATATTCACATGGTGCCTCATTCTGTGTCTCAGACTTGGCGAAAGACATACAAGCGTCCACATCAACATCGTTTTGGGGTTCAATAAACTTTCCCTTAGCTTTCATTTCTCTATCAGAATTAGGTAGCTTTTCATCAGAGCATGACCCGTGACCTAGGCTTCTCACACTGACATATTGGTTAGTCAAAGGTCTCTCACTTATTCGGTGCCTATATAGATCAGCACTGTAACTTCGATCATCATTTCTAGGTTTTTTCACAAATGGCACTTGGCGTCCCCAATCCAACTGATATTCTTGGGCTGTCAACAATCCTGTATCATCGAGGTCCAAATCTCCCTTTCGGGTGCCCATGTAGGGTAATGAAACATATGGAATATGCACTGGTTGGGAAATGATCTCTGGGCCAATTCTGTCTTCAGTTTGTGTTTTAACAGTATTCTGGAATGATTGTGACTGTTGTCTCAGTGACTTCATGCAAACTGCCTGTCTCTCAAAGCCATCTTTAAGCTGCATTGAAGAATCACCCTCTGTACCTTCTCGATTCACTGCTGGAGAATGTAACACATCATAATGCATCGGTTGTGGCATTGGAATCTGATAAAAAGCATCTTGTCTTTTAAGATTTGGCTTTGAAATTTCTGTCAGACAATCATTAGCTCCAATCGGCAATGGTGGAGGCAAAAAGAACTTTTCCTCTTCACAAGTCTGCTCTCTTCTTTTAATGTCTGGCATCACTTCTTGCATGTGGCTTCTTTTTGGCGTTACCTCATCTTCTGACAATGACGGAGTCTCAATATTTGTAGATGTCGCATGTTCTGTCTTGATTTTCATTGGCTTCAGCAATGGTCTATTTTGTGAGTTCATCTGTGTACCGGGCCTTTTCCACACCATATCGATCCTCAGATCTAAGGCATCAATAGTCGAAGATTTCGTTTGACTTCCATCATTCATGAAATTATTGGGGTACAAATTACCTTCAATTGGTAGAGATCTCATTTGTGAGAGATTGTCAATTCTCTTTGACAATTCATCAGTATCACTATTAAGGATATCTGTATCACAGCATTCATAGGCCATCTTGTGTAAATCTCGTTCCTTTCTTTGACGTCTAGACTGCAAGCCACAATGTACTTCACCATCACCAAATGCTGACTGTAGTAGCTCATCATTCATGTCAAAATCTGTGGCTTCCATTTGCTCAGTAGATGCCTCAGATGGTAGAGCTGTGTCCTTTGTCGTCTCCAAAGTATTTTCAGTAGCTGACGTGGCCATATTTCACACAAGTTATTCCCATGTAAGAGATTCCACAGTTTCACACAGATCAATTTATTACAGTTGACAACATACAACTTTATTCTTCACACAAATATGAAACAACAAGTAAATAACAAAATTTATTTTTATTTACTTAATCATACACCTGGTTTATTCACTTAGAAGAAATGGCTGTGACTTCAAAAATCCAGCATTGCATCAATGTGGACATTCGTTTATTCTTCACTTCAGGTTTTGCAGAACATACAATGCAAGAGTACAAGCTGGTCATCTATTTTAAACAATAAACAATCCCAAGCATAAAGAAGTATCACACAAAGAGTTTTCCTTTTGCAGCTAAACACATGTGTGTTAACAATTTGGGAATGACTAAATTTGTTTACACTGCCCGAATAATGAGAAAAAAAATGACGCAAAACACGATCTTGATATAATGCGCAAGCCAATCAGTTCACAAAAGTAGACGTACCACTATCACTATCCATATCCCACCGATTTAGCCAACACTGTGAAGTTTCTGATCCTGCTTCCACAAAAATCATAGAATTGGTAACGTGCTCTATTAAACCAAAAACCCCGAATATGTCACTTACCGTCTTGTTCTCATTTATAAGGCTCTATGGAAGACTCACTGTGTGATTAATTGTGGACAAATGACAACTGTGGACAAGTATGATTTCGCAATTGTGGACAAAGTGTAATTGCACAATTGTGGACAAATAGTAATTGCACAATTGTGGACAAATGACAACTGTGGACAAAAGTGATTTCACAATTGTGGGCAAAGTGTAATTGTACAATTGTGGACAAATGACAGCTGTGGACAAATATGATTTCACAATTGTGTGGACAAAGTGTAATTGTACAATTGTTGACAAATGACAGCTGTGGACAAATATGTCTGAGTTATATTAGGCCAGCATGGGGAATATAAAATCGGTAAATAATATAAGTTGAAACTCAAGGAAAATTTGGGCAGCACTTCCCCTAGTATCAGTGAAAATCAGATTGGGGAGGGGAAAATTTGGGCAGCACTTCCCCTAGTATGAGTGAAAAACAGATTTGGGAAGGACAGATATTATAATTGCTATATCAGGCCATACATCACTTGTTAAAAGGAACTGTGTCTTCAAGGTAAGGCTGTATCTTCTATTCAGGGGGTTAGGAATTGTAAAGTGGACAAATTACAACTGTGTACAAACCCAAATGTGGACAGAAGCAATTGTGGACAGAAGCAATTGTGGACAAAGTAGATTAATTCAGGTAAATGGTTGGTTATGACACACTCTGATCACCAATGATCCAACAGAAAAAGATGTAACTGCTAAAATAACTTACTATCTTTATTCGTAAATGACTAAATTATATTCCGTCTACATGAATAGGAAGACAATCCAAAGATGAGATCAGAATCAGCAAAATTATTACGGCTAAATAATATTGTAAACAGCCAGTGAAATCACCAAAATTATACACTAATATATCTCACCCAGTTTTCAAAGAGCTTTGTCGTCATCCCGGGCATGTTGGCTTTCTTTAGAAACACATCTTTGACTTCAAAGCGATTCTCTAGGCTTCAAAACGATTCTTGATTACGAAGAACAGCTGATTTCCCAAACTATCTATGGCTGTCCACAATGTCAGAGTGTACAAGTTAATCTCGAAACTCAAACAAAACGTTTTTATACATCAAAGTCTAAACATATAACAATATGTTTGCAACATCAAAATACATGATTGATAACATCATAAGAACATGTTACGTTCCAGTTAAGCTTTAAAAGTGCTCTTTATATGACAGAAAATCAAAAATATAAATGAGATAATTTCCTAGTCACATGACCATCCAAAATGGCGGCCTCCATGAAAAATGTAAACAAATTTAAAATCAAAACAGTTTCGTAAATTTGAAGCTCAATACAAAGTAATTATACGTGATTTTCTCAACTCCAAGCAAGATCAAGGTGCCAGGTAAGGAGAAATGATATAAATATAGAAAATGACGAGCAGGATCGTCACATTATATTAATGAAAGACTCCTCAGATATCTGAGATTTAAATGTGCTCTATCAGTTTAAATTACCTTTAATAACCATAAAATCGTTTCTACAACATTATACATCCAGTTCCATAGTAATTTATTCTTAAGTAATGATTTATTTATCTGATGAATTTAAATATATGCAAATTTTGTAATTGCGGATTGTAATTAATAATTTAAACAATATTAAATTCCACAGAAACTGCAATAAATTATTTAGATAAGCCTAGTATAGAGCAGTTACCAAATACCCTAATATCAGAGTGGTAATTCATCAATTAAAAGTGAGGTCACCTTAACATTTCACCTGTTGCAACTAATAATTCCTATTTTCATACTAATAAGGTATAAACCTTCACAAAACCTGTATTTTAGATGATGACAAGCCTATATAAATGATTTAGATGTCAACTCTAATACGAATTCGAATGTCATGCATTGTGGGAGTTTGTCATCAAAACTATAGTCTCCCCTATAGTGGGCGGGGTAAAATTATGAAAATGAAACTTTTTTTTTCTTCGTAAGTCTACATGTTAGAATTCTGACACTCACCAAATATTAAGTTCACATGAATATGTAACACCATGATTTTTTTCATGCTTTTCTGACAATCTGATCCTAAAATATCTAAATAGATATTTAAAACTATAGTCTCCCCTAGTGGGCGGGGAAAAACTATGAAAAAGAAATAATTTTTTTCTTCCTAAGCATACAAGTTAGAAGTCTGATACTCACCAAATATGAAGATCATATGAATATGTAACACCATGATTTTTTTCATGGTTTTCTGACAAACTGATCCTAAAATATTTAAATAGATATGTGATAACATGCCTGTTTTGTGGCCTATTTTGTTATACTTTGGGGTCAAATGACCAATTACTGGTCTCAAAAATGATCAAAACGATATTTTAATTATTTGTGAATATGTGATCTATCGTAATAAAGCTTGAATACTTGACTAAAGTATTCCATTTGGGAACAAAAAATTGTTTCCTACCAATACTCAATTTGGGGGTAGGGTTGTAGGGGGTACCTAGGAAGTGAAATTTCATATTTGTCCACTGCATACATTTTTCTATATTTTTGATATGTTTTTCAACTGATATCAATACATAATATAAGACTGATTTAAAAACTGTTGCAATTTTTGGGATGTTTGGGCCTTTTATGAGCCCATTTGCTTGGCCTATACGGGCCTGTACTGACCAGGCTCGTTTCGTTTCCTTTGTTGTAAGAATACCAAAATATGATGAAATGTATGGTAATGTATGTTTTTAAATATGTGCACCCCATGGTCTATCTGGTGAGCTGCTTAATGAAAATAACAGTAAATATGTGTTTTTTCAGATTAGGTGAAGCTGGATTATTTCCAGTACACCATGAAAATCGGACTATCGCTCGTTATTCTATGTTAACCCATGACCAAGTTGAAAAAAGTGAAGCCAGGTTTGTATTGGATGGTTAAACCATAATTAGAATATATATATCTTTTATTGACTCTCTGATGTCATTGCAATGATATATTAGTCACTACAAACTAAAATATACAAAATTAAACTAAGACTAAACTAACTACTTCATAGAAAATATACAAAGTTGTAAAATACAATTACAGCATCACGAAATGTAAAATATAAAAATATGAGATATAGTTGTAAAATACAAATACAACATGACAGAATTTAAAACATCAGTGTGATGTATCATTGTCACAATATTAATCCAGTTTTTTGAATGAATGATAAATGAACTTTGCTAGATGTAAAATTACAATTTTTATGAGACAAAAGTTTTTTGAAAATAAAGTCAGGACAATCTACACAATCAAATTAGGTAAGGGTGTCAAACAGAAGTTTTCTTTCTGTTGTATTTTTCTTACACATCATGATAAAGTGTTGTTCATCTTCTAAAATACCACACACATTACATTAACGTTCATCCAAAGGTCTTTGCTTAGGCTTCAAATGACGACCAATATCTATATGTAATGTGTGTGAACAAAGCCTAAATCTACTAATTGCTTGCCTCTAATTTTTATTTTGTATATTTAAATAACCCTCTCTTTCAAAGACATTTTTGAATGTTATGTAAGTTCTTAAAACAGGATATTTGAAAATATCTTTCTGCCACTGAGACTTATAATTCTGATACAGTTTGTTTTTGTTATCATCTTGATAAAAATATAATCATCATCAATCTTTTGAGTTTCCCAATATGAGAATAAATCACATTTTTTCAAAATATCAGTGATTTTGTTTGACCAGGTGCCTTTAAAACCAAGTTGGCTCATTTCACGGTCATGCGTATATGTTTTATGAAGAATGTTTCCAGGTGATAGATGAATTAAACGGAGCCAATATTTAATTAACTTAACTTAACGTCTTAATTCTCCATAGCCTGCTGGTGTTGCTGTTGATTTTTTAACACCTAATAAACTTTTAAGAAAAGATAAATGCGTTGTCTCTATTGTCTTAAGATGTTTTTCATTGATCCACACCTCTGAAGCATAAGTTAGGATAGGTTCAACTAAAGAGTCAAAAAGGTGCAATGCAAGATTAACTGGAATGTCATTAAATTTTTTTTATTGCTGTTTAACTTTAAACAAAGCTTTTCTTGCCTGCTCATATGCTGGCCAAAATTCTTAGTTTTGCTGAATACACATCCTAGATATTTATATTGCTCAACACTTTCTATTGCACTATCATTAAATGTGAAAACTTTATCAAATTTTGAGTTTTGAAACAATTGATTTTGTAATAAAAGGGTGCCGAAATTAAACAACAATTCATTCACAACACTACTGCGTATTTTGCAAATCACCAAAAATATCCCAAAAGAGAAAATATCAAACAGTAAGATAAAGCAGAAACATTTTCATGTGATGGTCATTATTCAAAACCAAATGATAAAGAACCCTGTGGTAGTGAACATCTTGTCATTGTGAAAACACAGAGGACTTTGAAACGGTGGTCTCAGGTTAAAAAGACACAACATAAATGGACATACATTAAATGATACCGATATGAATAGCGATATAAATTTGGACCTCGTGGTGTCATATTTTGCCTTCATTTTTTACCAAAAAGATTTAATCTGTTTGGAAGGACCCTTGTAGAAAAATCATTGTATTCAGTCTGTATAGGATCTCAAAGACTTCAAATAATCTGACTTGTATTTCAGGGTGTATCTTTGGTTAACTGGACCAGAAAGATTCCACTGTGACGGACTCAATTCAGTAGAATATACAGTTGACAGCATACACTACAAGGAACATTATGTCCTCATTAAAATTGACATGCCTACAGATTTCAAGACGTCAAGCATGTGCCTGGACTGTTTCTCAGGAGGTTTGAAGACAAAGACAATACAGAAAGCTGTTAATACTAGTACTGTTAATAGTACTGTTAATAATACTGTTAATAGTACTGTTAATATAACTGTGCCTGAAATATGCAAAATGACATAGTATCTGGCATGTGCCTGAAATGTGCTTGAAAATTCATGCTAAAAATAACATGACAAGGCACTAGTTGTGTCTACTTACAATCTTCAAAGAAACTCACCATTAAACGGACTAGAGTTGAAAATGAGAGGGCTTTGCAATATCTCTACCAAACTTGGGACAAAAAATTGAAAACCATGGGTGTATGAAATAACCAATTTAAGGTTTAAATGTTTCCAATAAAACGTGATCACCTTATAGAAATTTATGTTCTTGTGTATTTAGAAACAAAATAACGGCAACTCCACGGAGTAGCAAATCTCAACGAATAAAATATCAATTTCGTTCGTATTCCCCATACATTTGAAAAACTAAATATATGACAAGGCATTAACATGCAAAATGTCATCATCTGTCATTCATTACAGACACCAAATGTCATGTATGTCATATGTCACCACTTCTTTTATTTTTTTACCCTTAAGCTTTGAATATTGACCCACAAATCCTGAATGTTGTACCCTCAAAGTCTGAATATTGAACCTTCAACATCTAGGATTTACTTCTGTGTCTTCAAATAACTAATTCTTACATCCATTTTTCATTAATACTTTTACAATGCAGGATATGGAATTCTAAGGTAAAACTTACCTTTACAATGTACTATAGTAACCATAAGTTTTGACCAATCATATAAGAGATGCTGATATTTTATGAATCAATAATTATATTTTGTATACCTTACCTTACCTTTCATGAGAAAATATTAAAGATCTGGTATATCAATAATACTGCATTACATAAAATACCGTTTTCCCATTTCATCTCTTTTACAATTAGGATCACTTTTCACCATAATAAGTGTCACATGTAAAATTTTAATCCATATAATGTCTGAATGTTACAATTTGAGTCTGTAACAAGAGCATTCAATAAGTTCCAATAAAATGTTTGTAGTCTGTAACAAGGGCATTCAATAAGTACTAATACAAATGTTGTAACCTTTTTATTTCTTTAAGTATCTGGATGATTTTTGTACTGCACATTAATATTAGTATTGTTATCACATACCATGAGAATTACTCAGATGCAAGTTGGTAGTTACCAGTTTCGCCACCAGGTGGCTGATTCGGGGGAAATAACATGGCAGGGTATTACAAAATTCCCTTAAACTTGAATATTCATCAGTTTTAGTGGTTCACTTTTCATATTACCCTAATGTATCTGATAGTTATACAAATCAAAATATGTTCAGTAAAAGAAACTATTATCTGCCCAACACAAGAAAAGATATTTCCATTTTTGTGATTTTACAACATGGAGTCTATGGGGAATCTCCCCGACCTAGAAGTCGCATTTCCAAAGAAAATTAAATTTTCAAAGTTGATAAACTCTTTTTAAAACCATATTTCTAAATGTAATTCTACATGTAGATTCCAAATATGAAATCAGTTTGTCTTAATTTTGAATTTTTAATGACGTAAATCAAGATTATTTCTACTCGCATCTAGGCTATTGAAGTATATGGAGTTAACACCACCAAGTAATGAGTAAGAAGGGGTTAATCAAAAGTCATTAATCACAGGAATAAGCTGACACATATCCAAATCTGGCCCGTAGCCGGGGGGGGCGGGGGTGGCTCGATGGGTTCGAGTGAACCCCCTGGCCAAAAAATCTTTCAAACTCATGCACTTTTTCACCATTCTGAGCACTTTTTAAGTGATTTTGGCCATTTTTGGACCAAAATTGTCACAGGTGAACCCCCCCCGGAATTTTTAAAAAAGTGACCCCCCCCCCCTTGGCAAATCCTGGCTACGGGCCTGCAAATCATGATCACTGTCAAAGGGATTATCAGTGGTAAATATTAACCATGTTTGATTTTACAGCGTTTAATTTATTTTGATATAAAATTGTATCAATATGATACAATAATTTACATTACTAAAAAGCATTATTTATATGATCTATTATAAATAATTAAGGATTTCATCATCATAGACAATAATTACATGTATGTGTTTGATCTGTCAAAAAACATAAAATGTTTCATTAACCATCAGTGATTGATTACTACTTTAAGTACAAATATAACAAGGCATTAACATGCAAAATGTCACCACCTGCCATTTGTTAAGACCCTGAACTCCCAACATTAAATGGCGTTACAAAAAAGTTGGAGGCCATAACAATGTCACCACATCTGATGGTGACATTAAAATACACAAAACATTGGTGTTTGCATTTTGTCAATGCAATTTCATTCTGGTGTGAGAGGGGATGTTTTTCTAAACTAACATTTTTCTCATAGTTACTTCCTATACAAGAAGCCTTTTTACTTCAGAATAAATCTGAACTTATATGAATTCAATTTTACCCGATGATCTATATAGTTCATTGATTTAGGTATTCTTGTTCACCAACCAGTATACAAATTGCAATACACTATTTTTATTCCATTACACTATTTCATTCCATAACACTATTTCATTCCATTACTTCATTTCATTTCAGTACACTATTTCATTCCATTACACTATTTCATTCCATTACACCATTTCATTTCAGTACACTATTTCATTCCATTACACTATTCCATTCCATTACACTATTTCATCATATTACACTTTCTCAAACTCCTGAGGCAGTACTACAGTACTAGTCTTCAACATTCCAGTCTCCCAGGCAAAGCATTAGTCCCAGCTTCCACCATAAGTTTGCTTTACAGAACGTCATTGAGAAATTCAGAGAACTTGATTGGTTGCATTGTGCGTGTCATAGGCCCATGTGCTGTGAATTATTTCCATTTACCCGTCACAATGTCAATCCGAGACACTGCCACAGGAATTTGACTATTTCAAAGTTGTATACTAAATATTACAGATTTCCCTTTCTTATCACAGACTGCTGGTTCATCTGTGCTCCTATGGGGCCAATATTTTGGGTCATCACCAAGAAGTGTGTCCTCATTGAGCCCTAATGTTATTTCACTATGTCGCACATCTTGATCACCATTTGAAGTGATGTCATCAAGGTCATGTATCAACTTTGTTTCACTTACGTGAAGTGATTCATTTGAGCTAATGCCAGCACTGGATTTGTCATGTTCTTTTATGGTTGATTTTAGGATATTGGAATGTACTTCAGGAGAATCGGAACATTCTGGGAAATGGGAATGTACATCAGAGGACTTGGAATGTACTTCAGAATTTACATGTTCTTCTTGGGAATTGGAGGGTACATCAGTGAAATAGGAATGTACTTCTGGGGATTTGGAATGTACTGGGGTATTATAATATACTTCTGGGGTATTGGAATGTACTTCTGGGGATTTTGCACTTAATCCAGGAGTTCCATATCTCTTCAAAAGTTCACCTCCGTGTTGGACTATACTTGCATTGGAAGACTCATAGTTGTGTTTTATCTTTTCAGGATCTGCTTCATTATTACACGCAGACTGATCCTTTTTTACAAGATTTCTGGTGCCTAAATCTTCATCAGGCATCTGAGCTTGAACGAGATCACTTTGAGCACTTTCATTCTCATTTATGTCTCTTTCATTGATTGTTGACTGGATGTCCTTATTTTGCTCTTCACCAAAATCAAATCCTTGATTCACAAATGCCTCTTTATTTGCACTTTTATCAATTACACCTCCAATGTTATCATTCTTAACAGCTTGTCCATCAGATTGAGCAATATCAACTTCACACACAGCAGTTGGATTTTCCCCTTGAGTAGATTCATTCATGTCTTTATCAGACTGCTCACTGTCAATATCATTATTTTGGGAATCTTTGATGGTAATGTCGGATAACAGTGTCTGTGTAGATCGTGATATACGTTTCTCTTGTCTCCGTGTTTTGTGTTTACAAACATGTGCCTTGGGAAGGGCTGGACCAGATGGACCCATTTTGTTTGCACCTGTGGATGTTTCTGAAATACATAGTTTAAGTTATATTATATCAATGTGCAGGCCCGTAGACAGAATTTTCCAAGGGGGGGGGTCACTTTTCAAAAAAATTCTAGGGGGGGTTCACTTTGGCAAATTTAGCCAAAAATCACTCAAAAAATAGTCAGAATGGTGAAAAACTGCATGATTTTGAAAGAAATGTTGGCCAGGGGGGAGGTTCGCCCGAACCCCCCATGGCTACAAGCCTGATGTGCTACAAATGATTGGATGGAGATGGGTCAATACAGAACAATATATATGACATTTTTGAGGAATCATGGGTTAAAACATTCTTTGCAAGTTGAGAGTCGACGTGCTTACAAAGTATCTGTGAGATTGGTAGTAACAACAGTTACAACAAGGTATTTTGGACTCATCTACCTATCCAAATCTGTGTCTATGTATGTGAATTGTGATGTATTGTAAATGAGAAATAATGATAATAAAAAAGAGATTGGTTGTAATTGTATTGAATAAAGAGGGAATTAGTTCAACTTTAATGCTTTGACTGAGTCACAATTTGTCCTTATTTGGTCATTTGACCCAAAAGCATGCGTTACTCCATTTGAATTTGATACTGAAATAATTCCAGGTTTGACTGAGTTGGACAATGGTTGAGTTGATCTGATGTTATGTTGACGTAAATTCAAGTACCATTATCATTATTTCTCAGACAAATATTACCAAGAGCATCTCCTCTTAGCGTATCTTTTTAAAAAACATGCAAGTTTTACCTGCTGAAAAGCATACACTCGTACGTCTAGGGAGTTCTACACTAGAGCCCTCACTCTCCGACACTCTTGGTAATCTCTGTTTCTTTAGGCTCGATTTTGACATGTTACGAGGAATGGTATCTGGCTTGTTTTGTTGACTCCTCATAGCGCTAGTGTTCATCATTATTGAACTGGCTGTAAAATAAAACAAGAATCTTTCACATACTTATAGTGATTAACTCCTATTAGCTATACATATCATGAATCAATTATGGCATATAAAGTAACAATGTAACTTGTTGATATGTTGATAAGTGTTGGATCCGTATTCACTTAGAAGCAGGAATTCCAAAATGTCAAAACCTGTATTTTGACCATCTGTGCCAGGATGTACAGATCTTAACCAGCTAGTGATCCACCATGTATGCCATCAAGCTTTGATACATTATCATATCTTGTGATAAAACTCCAGTATTTTGACTCTGACTTTTGTTTGAAGATGTATGAATATTTATGAGATAACAAACTATCAACTTTAATTTTAAAAATAATTACAGACACCGAACAGACACCGAACACTGGATATCAACCGCCGAAAACATCATCCACAAAAAGTTGGAGACTATAACAACATGTCACCACTTGTGGTGGCGACATAAAAAGCATTATTTTTACCTGTGCTAAGAGTATCAAGATTATTAGCAACAGTGAAGTTTCCTATCAACTGATGTTTCCGCAGGGCAGGACCCCAGTCTCTTGATGGCCTCACAACATCTTTCAATTTCTAAACAGACATCATAATGATTAACAAGGTGCCTTGTCTAGACATACATCAGTAGGACTTGAGTGGATCTGTCCAATTCAAAGGTTCTCGATAATAGGCTCCTTTGAAACTCAAACTTGAAAATTAAGTCAAATTAAATCTGTTCAGTAGAAAGAAAACTGAAGGTACTGATGTCCCTAAATATTCCTAAATACCCTAAAAATACCCTTAAATACCTTTAGGACATTTTATGATTTATAGCTACACGTATATTTTTCTTCTTTGTGAATATAGAACAATTACACAAACACACTCAGCTCTGGAAGTTAAGCAATAGTTTAAAAACAAATTAATGTTCTTTACTATTATTTTAAGCTTGAAGTAGTTGTAAAAATAAATTTGTAATAATGTATTAAAAATACAACAAAAAAAGATAGTTAACATAAAGACGTAAAAGATGTCACACAAAGATAAGATGCACACCATTCTCTGCCACTCCAAGGAAATGTCTTCCTGTGCGTCCTCCTCTCTCCTCTGATCAGATGAGCTCTGATTGGTTGTTATGGTTATGATATCGGGGTTATCTGTCGAATACTCAAATCGAGGCTTTACAACATCGAGAGTTGCCTATGTTAAAACACAACACATGACACATTAAGATGTAGCATTATGTAGAATTAAGCACTATAAGATACACTATAGCATTTTAAATACAGGCCCACAACCAGTTCGATGGTTTGAGCCCCCACCCCTGGTCAAAAAATCTTTCAAAATCATGCAGTTTTTCACCATGCTAAGCACTTTTTAAGTGATTTTGGCCATTTTTGGACCAAAATCGTCACAAGTGAACCCCCCTGGAATTTTTCAAAAAGTGAACCCCCCAAATCCTGGCTACGGGCCTGAAATAGATTACATGCACAAGGATTATGTATATTTACTGGGAGGTTTTGGATACAGGGTTCACTAGTATCCCGAGGGAAATATAAATTGTGGAGATAACATATTTCTTGAGTGATGAAATCTGTGTCCAAAACCTCCCAGTACATTCCTATTATGGTTCTAGGGACATTCTACCTTCTAAGGTCCCAAAATTAAAAATGATTATAATGTTGGATATGAAATATGAAAAAAATAGCGAAAAATTACTTTATAAAGCGAGACTGGGATGGATACAGACCTCGACTATAGCAAGACAGATATAGAAATATCCATCTTGCTCCATAAATACCCAATATATTCCCGTATGTTATGTACATAGAACCTCAGTAGGTTATAATGGGATAAACAAGCATTCACCACATATTTCTCAAGCACATACGTTTTATATATTTTAATGCATTCCAGGGGTTTCATTATTTCACAATAATTTAGTGTTAAAAAGACATATAAAAAACAGCAGAGATTTTGAATTTTAATTTCTAAGCTTCATGATCACTTTTAATACATTGTTAACAATTTTGAAATTTCTTCATTCAAATCATACATCTCGAATGGTCACCTGCAGAGTAAAGGCCAACTGCAGGCTAAAGGAGCATGAAGGAGGAATCTATTTGAAAGAGGGGAGATGAAGGGGATCTAACCATGCATAAATCAAAACTACAGTAAAACATGCATACGCTGAACACTCTCCATAGTGGCCAAAATCCTAATTCTCATTAGGCTTTTAGACTCCGATTTTCCAGATTCTCCAGAGTCTAATTTTACATATTTTTCAAATCATTTGTGAGGAGTAGTTGCCCTAAAACGAGGATAACAATATACGGTATTCCAAAGAGAGGTCCATTAACATGTAAACTAATGTAAAAATATTTGGTTCTTTTGAAAAAAGTTGCCTGAAGATAGGTGTTCCTCACTGAGAGGTGTTCCTTTGAAAAGGTTTTATTGTATGTAAAATATTGACAAAAGAGACATCAGCCATAAAAATATTCAACTGTCAGTTGCCAGATGGACCTACATTTCAAGGTAGATATGCACAATGGCAATTTAATGTAATTTACATGCTAATCATTATCAATGATTCACATGTTTATGTGGATATTTACACATTATGGCAGAATACATCATTCTAATAATGAAAATATTTTGAATAAATTACCATTTGCATCCGTTCGGCTTTGCTTCTCAAAAGAGAGCTTCATCTTCACTCTTTCAGTTTTCAACAAATCTCTGAACTCACTGCGCTTATCAGAGTTCATTGTTGAAATAAGGATAATTTTGTATGTGGTCATTTTTTCTGACGAAATCGCATATGCACGGATTTAGCATGTGTTCCTTCCAGCTTGCCGATTGATTGAGAATCGGTCAGTGTGGTAAGTGTGAAATGATTTATGACCCGAGCCGTCACGGGCATGAGCTGTGGGGGCGGTGCTGCTAAACTGTAATATAGTCTATACTAGGCAGAGGGTAGTTTATAACTAGAGTCTGCACGCAGGGTGCGAATAAATGGAATTAAAATGGCATTTCCTCAAATCTTTTTCAACTTTTAGTAATGAAAGCAGTTCGGCTGTTATTTCCAAGCAAGACATCATAAAAAATCATGATACCAAAACACCTTACTGTTCACAATTGATAGGATGTACATTTAACAGGCTGAAAATTGGCTGAATTAAATTGAATTCATGGAATATCGATCTGTTCATTGTTCATCTCTTCAAAATTTTTGAGTTACACTAGAGTTGACATCAAGCATAAAATACAGAATTAACATTAGTGTTCATCAGTGTATTCACATGGCCTTCAACTTGAATGTTAATGGTTTAATTTCACTTTCGACAAAACTTGATATATTTTGTTCAAAGCTTCATTGTGATCAATAATACAGATGAAAAGACACTGAATAAACCACCACCAGATATTAGCAAGACAAATCATATACACGTAAATATAAATCTACAAACCATACATATAAATCTGCTACAGTCCACATGCATCTTTAAGCTTAGTCACAAACAAATGGAACAGTTCAGTGTTTAAGACAAACCCTTTCATTATTCTACTCACATTACTGCAGTGCCCTCTGGTTTGTGCGAGGGCAACTATAGCAAACACAGGGACACACATGAAGGGCACCAGGGCAATGATGAAACCCACACACTCTGCCCACCATGGGTATATATAGCCATCATATTTGGTAGGAGTATACCCGACTATAGAAAAGACCAATATGAACTAAAAAACAAAACAAAATGGCAATTTTAGTGATGAAAAAAGGGATCAGAGATTATGTGGATGTGATTTGGTGGAAAATAAGATGGGAAAATAAAGGGGGGGGGGGGCATAAATATACATATTTAGTTTTTTTGCCATTTGAGACTTTTAACATGTTAACTATAGAAAATCAGGAGGAGTGAGAAACACCTGTGGCAAATTCTGAGAACTTTCCAAGTGATTTTGGGGAAAAATGGTCAAATGTGAACCCATCCTAGAAAATATGTACCCCCATTGGCAAAAGCTGGCTATGGGCCTGAACAGGTACATTTGTTATGTTGTGTTATAATACATGAAAACAGGTAGCAGTACAATAGCACTTACCACGATAATAACTGGAGATACAAACTTCCACATGATTTTCCACCAAGGTCCAGGGGCCTCTCCTAACATGGCCTTGACATTGAATGTGAAAGCCTCAAGGCCATAGACCCAGGCTATCACAATACACTCACATAGACCTATCGCTAGGGCTGACCATCTTGACGCATACTCATCCATCAGTTGTAGGAGATAAATACCACCCTGGAGAAATCATGAATCAAATGGTTACAACAATAGGACTTTACAGCTGGATATTCATAGTATTTAAAGCGCCTAGAAAAATCAAAACAGACGATAGAAAAGAACAAGTTTTGAAAAAAATTAAAATGCAATTCGTTGGAACCAATGCTCATGTCTGTTTTTGTGTCAGTTCCATGGAATGATGGTGATCAAAAAAATTTTGTAAAATTTGTACAATTCTTTCAACTTATTTTCTGCTTGTCTCTATCTTCCTACTTCTACTTTGTGTCTTAAAAAGGTGTTTTTCTCTTAAGCCCTCTTACCTGAGTTGTCAAAGGGAGACCCAACAGGAACAAAATGGCGCAAACCACACCCACCACCCATATACGCTTTTTCCTCAGCTTTTCACTAAATTCATCCAGAATGCCTGTTGTTAAAGTCTCAACAAATATGAATGCAGAGTCCAAACCTAAGACTATGAGCATTAAGAAGAACAGGATAGCCCATAATGTAGGAATAGGCAGCAAGCTGACAGCTTCTGGGTAAACCACAAATGCCATACCAACACCTGAAAAAGAAGAATCCTTTTGTTATTATTCCCATAGTCAGGTTGGCGGTGGTTTGAGGTAAATAAGTGGCAAATAATTGTCAAGTTGGGAAATTGAAAAGTTACATGTTAGTCCCACCTAGATTTTTTTTCTTCTTTATTCCTGTTAATAGCGTACATTCAAATATACAAAATAGGCCCGTAGCCAGAGGGGGAGCTGGGGGAGCAGAAGCTCCCCCCTGGCCAGAAATTCTTTCAAAATCATGCAGTTTTTCAGCATTCTGAGAATTTTTCGCATGATTTTTAGCCAAAATTGCGAATAAGCTCCCCCCTGGAAAAAAGCTCCCCATCCTGGTAAAAGCTGGCAAGCAAAACATAGACCACCCTTGATGAAAGATGACTCCAGCCAGAACAATATATTTTCTTAATTTCTGGAATATAATTTTGGCATCTGATACCTAGAGATCAATAATTCAGGCCTGTCAACTTGGGAACACCTAACATGAGTGACTTGGAAATGTTGAACACCTCCCCTCAAAATGTGGACACCTTGGTCCAAATCTGAACACCTTGATCCAAATTTTGAACACCTTGGTTTAAATTTTATTACATCTTGCCAAATTTTGAACACCTCAAGTTTTTCGCGCTCGCTACACTGGCGTTTCGAACATCCATCAACGGGGGGGTAGGTACGCAAAAATTTCGAACGGAATGCGTGACATATACGTAATTCGCGTGAAAAGTCCGAACGAAATGCGTACGTTTTTTTTCGGCGTTCGTATTTTGGCTGTGTAGACGAACTTTTTTAGAAATTTTTCTACAGAAATGTTTTTGCTTGACAATTACCAGGTAAAATGCGTATTTGCGTGACATTTTCTGTCACGCAAAAATAACTGGCGTGACTTCAAATTCTTCAGCAAATGCGTGACAAATATGCAAATTGCGGGACAGTTGACAGGCCTGATAATTGTATACACTACCTGAGGATAAGATTGAATGTTATCTGTCTGGTAGTATTCATATTTCATCAAAAGTTCATCTATCAAAGAAATTTTTGACAAAATCTTACTGGAAAATATTTTCTAGATATAAGATGAAATATTTCACAGTAAAATTTATCTACCTGAAGATGTAATGTCTTCTATGGGCCTTCCAGTGTAGTGTGACATCACACCCAGAATTGAAAACACAGCAAAGCCAGCAAACACGCATGTAGCTGAGTCAGTCAGGGTCACTATCATGGCATCCCTGTAGAAATAACAACAACATTTTAAAGGTTTCACTGTTATTACCTATCATATAGTACATGTGTACATATAAGATGAGAGAGAAGTTACTAGAAACAAAATTAATAGAATGCTCATGTAAGGTACTGGCACATCCAGGGGGATTGTAGGCCCAGAAAATATTTTAGGCCCCCCCCCATAATCTTTGGGCCAAATTTTTTTTAAAAGGGCCTCAAAAACTGGGCCTTTTTCGGCATAATTTGGCTATATTAGGCCTTTTTAGGCCAAATTATCAAAAAATGGGCCTTAAATTTTCAAAATTTGGGCCCAATTTCTGGTTTTAGGGCCCAAATTTTTTCCCTACTCAAAATTTGACCCCCTTGTTAGCTTCTGGAGCCGCCAGTGTAAGGTATCCTAACATTCTCTGATGACTTACCTATACACATTGTAGTGGAAACGATTGTAGCTGGACAATGCAATAAGACCTCCATATGATATACTTATGGAAAAGAAAATCTGTGTGGCTGCGTCATTCCAAACTTGGGCATCTGCTAAACGTTGCCACTGTGGTGTCACATAGTATCTATGGAATATACACATGATAAGGTTATTTCACTTATTTGTTTGTTTGTTTGATTGGCTGGTTGTTTGTTTGTAGAATGGTTAACAAGGCATTATCATGCAAAATGTCAACACCTGCCATTTGTTACAGATGCCAAACACCAATCACAAACCACCGCATGAAATCCACAAAAAATTGGAGATTATAGCAAATGTCACCACTTTTGGTCGTGACATAAAACCACATACATTAGCATTAGATCCAGTCGACTGAGCCCTGTGTATTTGTCTCAATGGATTAACGTAAAATGGCTGGACTCCATACCGATTGAAATGGAGAAGGGGGGGGGGGTGTATTGCATACATGAATCAAAAATGTCCATCTGATTGTCTGTCTGACTTTTATTACTTGTATATCCATCCATTTGTTCATTCATTCCAGCAAAAATTTCACTAACAAAGTATGTAAATTTAATATCTTGGTTGACGCTTTAATTTGGAGGATCAAAATAATTCTTAGATAAGAGAAAAAAAATCTAAGTTAAGCTATTTCAGAGAAATTATTTTCATCAAAGATATAGCTGTCTAAAACTAGAAATCAGCAACTCCATGGAGTAGCAAATCCCAACGAACACTACTATTCATGAATCTGTATATGTAACAATGTAATATTTATTATCAACTCTACCCTTAGTTAAATTATTAGCAGATATTAAAAGACATACATGAGAGAATTTCCATCTGATTTTTGGGTGACATTTGGGAGACCATCATAAAGACAATACAATGTTTGAGATCTAATATAGTATCATGTAACCATCCTCTTGTTAAAATAATTGGCATCCAACAAGACCCTTTAGCTTAAGGGCTATTAAGGAATGGTTATAAGTTTGAATTTGTAAGAGAAAACTGTACTCGTATATCATTGTTTTCAACCATGGCAAGATAATACAAAGTTTATTGAGCTGTATACATTTACATACATATATTCTATTGTCCAAAAGTTATGATTTATATTAATCAAACATGTAATATATTTGCAAATTTTAACAATATGCAAAAGCAGGACATAAGTGTATATTGAGTATATAATACAACCTAAAAAGCAATTTGCAATAATAAACAATATGAACCTAGTGTTACAGAAAATTGGCAGTATAAAATTTCATATTACATCTGTGGACAATATATTTTGAACACATTGATAAATATATTTGAATACAAGGTAGCCAGCATCCTCCGAACATAGGCTTCCAGATTTTCATACACATCAGGAATCAATTTTGTCAAAATCTCTCCTATTCATGAATCAGAAAAAATTCTGGCAAATCAAATTGCCAAATTGTTACCAGCGTATTTGCAACAGCTCATCATAGGGTGGGAGAAGGAAGGAACGTAGTGGATGATGTTTGCCCTGCGTTTGGAGGATGGGTACCCATTCCCACCACGACATGTGGTTGTTAGCCCTATTGGCAAAAAGTATTTTTTCATAACATGTAATTCATAACAACAAAAAAAACGATAAACCTATTTAATTTAGTTCCATTTACTTTTGCCTTTCAAAGAGTGCATGTACCCAGAACATGACAGCTTCACAAATTATGTCATATAGAGTGATACTTTTCCTGTTATCAAATGTTGCCAGTTGTGTATTGCAATATATGTATTCTCGGCTGTGTCCACATCCCAGCATACTAATGCATCAGTATATTGTTGGTAAAAATACAGCTTCTGATACTGTATTAAATAAGCATATTCAATATGGTCCAACCATATCAGATCATTAATCATAACAGACATTAATTTTGTTAAAGGCCCCATGTAAAGTTTAAACCACTTCGGCTTATATTGTAGTCTTACCCAATGTGATCAAAGTGTGATATGTGAAACTTTTTTTTTAATTTCAAAAAGTGTTTTTTGAAAGACTTTTTGTTCCAAAATTTGTGAATTTATTTAAAACCAACTTTTAGAGGTCACTCATATCTTCTAACTAGCCAAAAATTCATACCAATGCATACCATTCATCCTCCCATGTTTTTTGCCGAAAAAATTAAGAAAATCGGTTGATAAACAAGCGAAAAATGAATTTATCAGTGCATGAAAATGGTTCTGAGAAAAATGCATTTCAAAATTTTAGTTCTCATAGAAACCAATGGTACAATGATATCTAAAACATAATTTATTCTTCCTTTCAACCTGGTTAGACAATCAACATTGTTTTTTTTATGAAAGTCTAGCATATTTAGAAAAGATTGACATCGAAAAAAAAATTTCAATTTTTTTCAAAGAGTTTTGGTTACCTTAGTGACATCACTAATGTTTCAAAATATTTTTGATATGCAAAAACATTGAAGTGGCCCATTAAATATGACATTTTATTATTGAACAAGCAATACCATATTCAGTGATATTAAATCTATCAATATAATCTATAAAAATGATTGAAACTTGAACAGGAGGTAATTTCCAAATATTTGTCAATTTCTTTATCACTACAGCCTCTGAAAGAGCTAGATCTAAGGCTCTAGCTTTAGGCTAGTCTAAGTCCTATAGATCTAGTAGTCTAGGCGAATTTGACTCAATGTTATACATGTTCCGGGCCTATGCCTAGTATAGTCCCACAGGACGAAGAAGATAGAATGTAAAAATCAAATTGAAAATCAAAATAATAGAACGAAAAAAAATTGAAAAAGTTGAAAATTCGATTTCGATTCAATTTGATTTTCTGCCATTATGAATGAAATACTGTACTTACCAACATGTTTCTCGGATATATATGTTGTTCTTACTTTATCTTCGCCGAAGATCGATGTTTATTTATATATAACAATCGAATAATCGACATAATTCAAACTCATCACTACGACACCCGGGCTCCATTTAATTCAACACGCACTTAAGACGGGCCCCTTGGACCAAGCCTAGCTAAAATATATCACTGGAGTTTTTCGTAATAGGTAGTTTCTGATCGAATTTTTGTCAAATCAAAAAAATAAATTACTCGGCAATAGGTTATTAAGATGAATATTGGCGAGAGGTGTACACTGACAAAGAATGGTTGAAATAACTCCATAAACGTGAAAGATCTAGGAAAAAACCGATGAAAATCTCCCCTAAAAAGGACCCCTTCGAAAATGGCATTCTCCATTTAAGGGCAAAAAGGCGGAGTTATAAGCGGACTGACACTTTCCTTAAATGGAGAAGTCTCGATGGATCTCGCTTAAACTCCGCCCCTTCTTCGTGAAAAATCACGTGAATTCCGGCTTTTGCTGGGGCATATCCGGGCATCTCGGCTTCGAACCCAATCAGAAGTTTCAATTTTGACTGGCGCTGCATACATTATCTCAAGTCTCACCCAATATTTTTATGTATACGTTAAATAGTGTGTCCTTTGTTCAATCTTTGCATTGGTGTTAAAAAGATAATCTTTTTTGAAATGCATTAAGAAATATTTGATGATTAAGAAATTTCAACTTTTTTTCAAAAATGGCGGGAAATTTGAATATTTGAGAAATGAAATGCTCACAACTTTTTTTTCAAAAAATGTTTTTTGTTCAAAAATCTCTAAAATCACTTTTTAAGTCCTGACAAATAGTAAATGAATGATAAAAAAATATTTTCAAACTTTAGATTAAATTATATCAAAAAACAGTACAACTTGAATAGCATAAGCAAAACTAAGATTAATACTAAGTGTAGTGCCTAAAACCAATTAACTACTACCACCTCTCATGTTGTAAATCACAAATTTTCGAAGTTAAAATAATCTTTTAGAATAAGAAATAAGTCTTGAATATTTTTCATTTGGGCCGATGTTAACACGTCTTGTTTGATTAACAGTATCTGCAGTCCTAATTCCAGAGCAGTGGTTGTGATGGGTTTTCAAAATTGAACATGGGTTCAGTCCAGTTTTATTCAATTTCTTCGTGATTACATAAATAAATACATTCTCACATCCAAGTACGTTAATCTGGTAATCCAGAAGATTTAAGCTCCAGTTATCGAAAGCTTTATCCATGAAGAAAATGTGAACATCATGAGATCCGATATAAGGTTTCGTGCAGAGGATCTTATTGGATGTGCAGTTCGGTAATAGTGATGAGTGTCTCGTTAAACAATACGCAACCTGGTCCTTAACAAGGTAACTTTCTTTGATCTGATCAAATCCTACACCAAGCGAAATATCAGCATTCATTATTGCAATGTTCTTGAACATCAGATTTTCATTGGCATATTTGGCATAAGCCTTGTAAGTAGGAAAACTTGATAGCTCGTGAAAATGAACCATACTGTCTATGTCAGATTCCGAGAACATTCCACTCAGTGATTTTAAATACTTTTCCAAATCCTTATTTTCCACAAGAAGATGTATCTTCTCAACGCATGGATGTTTCATATTCAATGAGAGAGAATGAATAAAGTCCATTTGACGACTTTCAAATTTTTTGTGAGATTTTTTTAAAAATCCATGTGACTTCATATCATAAGTTGATTGCAGTACGGGAAACGTTGTAATAATGTTCAACATTACTTCACACGTCCTATTGTGTACTTTTCTCCTCTTTTCAATCAATGATGGTAAATGTTTTTTGATGTAGCTCTTCTTATTTTGTGTTTGTTTTAATTTTAGATATTGAGTCAAAAGAAGCATTGAAATAACCATTACAAAGCAATTTATGTATTTCCCCTTTAACTGCATCGTTATCAATCTGTGCAGATCTTTGTTGTTCAACTTTTCCAGGTTATAAAGATTTTCCTAGGAGAGATCTGTATTATTTGTTTAATACTATGCAACTGCTGCATTAACTAGAGAATGGAATATGCTAATGAACAGAATATGTTTCCCTAAATCGAGTATTCGGGAATCTGAAAACCAGGAATTTCTTTCTTTTCTCTGTCAGAGGTATACTTAGTTTTATTATACTCAAATCGAAAGTACATGTAAGGAGTAATTTGCAAATTTTAGTGTTTAAGTTGTTTAAAAAAATGCATTTATCAACCTGTCAACTCCCTGCCTGTCTA